GACCAACGGTACCACGAAAATGTACCTAGGGACTTCTAGCGGATTTTAAGAAAAAGAAAAATCCTGTTTTTGGCGGATTTTTTCTGTTAGTCTAGGGACTTTAAAATTTGTAGAACGGCAACCCTAGACTCAAGTAAATGCACAGAGTACCTTTGTATAACTGAAAGTAGTAGTGTAATTTTGTAACGAGACTAAATCTAATGAAAATTTTAGAATTTTAGTTGTATAATTCTTAATAACTTGGCCAACCAACGCTATCTCTTTATCATTTGACGACAATTTCATATTGTTCTTATCACATAAAACTGAAGTGAATAGGTGTTCATAATACAAGTCAAACTCGAATTAGGTAAATTTGATTGAAGTCGAAACTGTAATTTTCATCAAACATTTAACAAGTTGTCTCCTGTCTTTGTACCAGTGGCGTAGCGTGCCCCTGTATCAAAATTTGTTGGGGGGCCCAACAAAAGGCCCGAAACCGCTCGCATTGAATTGAAAAAATTATATATTGATTATAGGTTAATATTTGCTATTAATACTACTAGAAACTAAGCTAGCCAAACAATTCAAATCTAATATAAGCTTTTCTTGTCTAGTTCGGCGAACTTAATCGGTCGCGGAAAAAGTTTCTTCGTATATGAAATACCTACACAATTATTTTTCAAAGTTTCATTACATTTAAATATAACAAATATACGAGTATGGGCCATTTTGTTCGATAACTTGTTGCCATCTTGTAGGTAGATGACATAATCACGTTGCTGTAGAAATTTTGGCATTTCGATCAAAAAATGCGACAAGTAGTTTTGACAGTCCTCTCTTGATATTACCCTAACACTACCCAAAGAATTCTGTAGTGACCGAAACAGGTGAAAATCTGAAGGTGCAAGGTCAAGACTATATGGTGGATGCATTAACACTTCCCAACCAAGCGTTCTCAATGTTTGCTGAGTGGCTAAAGATTGTGTGGTCTGGTGTTATGATGATGAAAGGCCATTCCTTTTCTTATGATTTATTCCGGCTGTTTTTTCTCGATTTCTTGCTTGATTCTAACGAGTTGTTGGTAGTAGAGATCCACATCAATGGTTTTGCCCAGCTATAAAAGCTCGTAATAAACGATGCCCTTCTTATCCTACCGTCTGTGGACTAGACTACCTTTTGACCATGATCTTTTACGTACGATTTTGTCGCAGGTAATCCACCCACATCGTCAGTGATTAAGCTTTGCAAAAATGGTTCAGTTTTATCACTTTTCAATAGAGAATCGCAAATAAGTACACGATTCCTTAGGTTTCTTTTAGTGAGCTCGTGTGATACCTAAATATCGAACTTTTTTGTATAGCCAAACTCTAAAATGGCTCAATACTGTTTTGTGGTCAGTCTTCAATTCTTCGGCTATGTTGTAAAGAACTACTCCACCACTTTTCAAACAAGGCATCGACTTTATTGGTATGAAGGTGACCAGATCGAGCTGCATCCTTTTTTGTAATAAAACTTCAAATTGTGTCGAATTTCTTCGTTGGATTCATTAATTTTGGCAGATAGAAAAACAATTGAATTAAAATTGAATTAAAGTTTCAAATAGTGAAGAAAAAAGGTTTGTCTTTTTAGTGGAAATTAAATTTAGTTGTTACAATGTTTTCATTATTAATAAGTCAATAAAAAAATAATTTTTCCTTATATCTGAGAAGGCGTCGTTTCTTGAAGACACACCTTTTTAAGGTTAATTTTATATTTTTAGATGAATCGTTAGTCGTTACTCAGAATTAACAAGCACTGTATACTACTACTAAAAAATATATTTTTTGGGTTATTCCGTTTGTCAACTCTAAAAAATCCACCCTAGAGTGGATTCTCGCAAACGCGTGTTCATCTATCCATCCCAGACGGGGGTTGATAATCGGAGTTCACTTTTATTTTTTCCTCCGACTTTTTACCCCAAGTACAGTTTAATACATACACTTTAATTATTATTAATTAATTTTTAATAACCAAAAATGTAATCAAAAACATATTACGTATTGCCGTTACCGTCACCGTTACAGCCGTTACAACGTAACGAAACGTTCGTTATAACGTAAGTAATGAATGTTTGTCTTCATTTTAAATTCTTTTATGCCAAGATTTCTATGAATTTGTAATTCTGTGAGGCACTTCTTTTATTTCGGCGTTGACCTTATAAAACAAAAAATATGTATAATTTTTATTGATAATTTAAAAAAAATCTACAAAGTATCGGGTCAGTTTTTTTTATCATATTTCTATAAATTACTGTACACACAGCAGAGGGAGAAAATCGAAGGAAAAATAATATATATGAATTCCTATTATGCACCCCGTATAGGCAACTATTAATTTAGCACCTGAAAGTGGGTAGAAGTTTTCAACTTAGGGGCTAATAACCGAAGTAAATTTTGTGCTTGTAATATGTTTATCAATAAAGATAATTATTTCTTTAAATACATTATCATAATTTTCTGTTATCGAGACGAGATGTATCGAAAAACTACAGAAAATTGGACAATTTCTGACAGGGCACTATTTGATGATATGATTATTTTTTCGGGAAGTACGGCCTAAGAGTTAAAGTGGATTTGTGGATAACATTTTACGAATTTTTGATAATACACGTTGTGGGCCCTGTAGCCCGGGGGCCCCGTATCATTGATACGGCGGTAGCTACGCCCCTGCTTTGTACGTTACAAGCATACACACACAGGGCATCCTTTTAAGCTTTTTTTTTAATTAGGTCATCCATTGCCACAGCTACCAAATGAGAAGTTACTAAGTAAATTTTATAGTCAATATTTAATCGAATTTAATTTTAAAAATTGAAGGAATAAACAAATACAAAATGTTAAATATTTGTTAGTATATTTATTTCTCGCATAAAAACGTATAATTTATAATTATATCTCATGTCGTAAGGCAACATTATACATTAATTATTACTACACAGTAAACATACACTAAATATAAGGCACATTTATTTTTCGATTAATTTTTGATTAAGGAAAAAAATGTCTCTAAGTTAAATCCCTTTTTCATTAGATCTGAAATTACACATTATAATATATAATTTCAGAAATTTACTCACATAAAAATTGATTATAGCACAAATAAGGTATATTTTCGATTTACTTAGTTATTTAGGTACATCTTTTTATGCAATATATAAGCAAAAAAAAATTAATTTAGACAACCAACATAGATTTCATATATTTCAAGGGTCTGTTGATGATGCGGTAGAAATAAAAAAAAAAATACTAAGTAAAGTGTGTACTATAAAAATACATGGCATGTAGAGATTCATTACATAATATTAATTTTAAATACATCTAATATTAGTATTTTTAAATATTTCTCTTAACCTAAACTGGTAAATAGTCTATACATCTATGTTAAATACATTTAATTCATTTAATATTCCATAAAAATACATGGCAGCATTCCACCTAGGCAGTTTAGCACCTATAAATATTATTATTATATTATAATTACAGCTAGTAATGAAACGTAATTTGTAATATTTTTTAATAAACAATAATTAGAAACACAACCTAAGTACTAAACAACAATTAAATACTGGCAGTTACAAAAAGTTGTAGGTGGTATAAATTTTACGTCAACTTTGGAGTATACCAGTTATCAAGACAAACAACTGTTAAGGTCTCGCCCGTTCCTTTTTTACCTAAATCGAGAGTATCACTTGCTATTATGATAGTATATTACTATACATCATTATAGTACTATACTATCATCAGATTGAAGATAGTTATTTCACATATTGGTGTAGTCAAAACTTTTGTAGATTATGCCATTCATAGAATTCACAGAAATCGTAATAATAAGACAATAGAAGTCGTATAGACGCGTTACCTTGAACCGCTATTATGTGTTAACGAACATAATTCACCATTTTGATATAGTTGCGCGGGGAACGCCGTACGTGAATTTATGTTATTATAATGGTGAACTGCAGCATAATAGTAAAAACTCATCAATGACGTGTAATTCAACTAATAAAGGCATAAAATTTCATCGGTAAGTTGATTATTTACTAATTATCATTGTTTTAACTAATTTACATCTAGATGAATACTTTACTACGATATTTACCTTTGTTCTACCGTAATACGCGACGTTGACAAACTCGCCAAGCAATGTAATGAGAAACATTAGATATCATTGTGCATTGCGTATGTTTATAATATGGCTGCATGTGGCGACATCGGTGTTGGAAGTAATCGAGCGCTAATTCATTTCTATTGTCTTATTATTACGATTTCTGTGATAGAATTACAACGCTCAAAAGAAAAGAAAACGCAAGCATACTTAGACTGAGTACTTATAGCATATAATTGATTTTTCCACCAACATACCAGTTAAAAAGCTGTTAACATGGCAATAAAAGCAATATTGTATACCTAGAATAATAAACGGGAACATCGTTGGGGAAATCGAGCCTTCCTTACACAAGTGTGAAGGAATTATATGCGCACAATAATTATCTTTCAAACATTTGGATAAAAGTCAGCTTGAATACTTTATTTTGTGAGTTAAAATTCTATGATGGCCTCATGTACGTGATACCAATGTTATGGTTTCCAAAAAATACTACCCGAATATTATGTCATTTAGGTTAAATAGTTTATATCCTAGATACAATAAAAAACAATATCTGAAAGTTGTCAATGTAAAACTATTTCAAAAGAGTATATTTCTAAACAAGTGTTACGATCAATGTTCTCTCTTTTTTTCTTTTGTACTTGACTTAGTCATTATAAATATTAGAAATGTAAGTGTAATTATTTCTTTTATCCAAACTAATCCACCAACTAACCACCGTTACTGTGCTCTGTTTGTATCCGGAAACACCAATTAGATCCATAAATGTATAATAATTCATATTAATTTTTTGTTACTGGCAACCCTAAGGGATTTAGAATTGCGATATGGTGTTAATGTACATGACCATAAATATGCGATTTTGTACATGCTCAGCGCTTCATCTTTTCCAAAATAGGTAGCACCATTTCAAAGGAAGGTCGTTTGCCTGGATCTTCGTTCATGCATATCTTGATCAGTTTGGAGATGTGGGGTGAAACTCCGGGTGGAATAGTGACACGTAACCCTTCAAGTGCAATCTTCATACCACACTCCATCGGCGATAAATCAGCGAATGGAATCTATTAAAAAATAAAGATTAGTACGAATTTAAAACAGTTTTTTCAATCGACTTCAAAAAAGGAGGAGGTTTACCTCAGGTGAACCGAACTTAATGGTTATTTTCTTATTAAACCTCTCAACCCCCTAACAGTCTCATGAGACCGTGGCCATATTCCGTCAAATCCCTAGCGGTCTCATGAGACCGCGGTCATATTCCGTTAAATCCCTAGCGGTCTCATGAGGTCGGACCCACCCACTTTAACCCATAAAAACTTATATATAGAGACTACTTTTCTATGAAGAAGTTTAGGATTATGTAATCAATAGGAAATACTCTATCCTCTAGTGCAATAAAAAAATGTTATCCTATAAATATTTATTTATAATCTACGTTCATTTCGTACGCCATTTTCGCGTGAATGTTATTGTGTTGATTTTTGGATTTTTATAGTGTTTTATTAGTGTTTTAGTATAGTATTTTTGTGTGAATATAATTTATCTTTTCACGTAAATAATTTCGTTAATATATATTTAAATAATTGTGATATTCACGCTGCCGACTTTCGCTTGATATATTTTTTTGTTATCAAAATACAATAAAATCTTTATGTAATGAAGTAAAACTTGACTTTTGTTTAGACCACAGGATAGAGAATTTTGTATAGATTTTATAATGCTAAACTTCTTCATAGAAAAGAAGTCTCTAAATATAAGTTTTGGTGGTTTTAAGTGCTGTGGGTGGGTGCAGTAGCATGCGACCGCTTGGGATTTGCCGGGCGCATGCACATGGGATTTTTATGGCGCTTGAAGGGTTAAAAGCTACACCAGCTTTTTTCATGTGATCCCACATAAATTTGATCAGGATCTGACCAGTAGTTTTTGAGTTTACCGTAATAATGCGTATTTAAGTGACTCAACTACATTAATGATGTTCTCATCATATTTATATCGAAGTCAGTTGTACAAATTTTTCCCCTTGTATCCTTGTTAAAATAATTAATACAGTCGCTTATATTGTACTGGATTGGACTTATATGGTATTGGCTTATATTGGAGCCGTGGTAGCTCAGATGGTTAACGCTCGCTGTAAATATAACAGTACGCGAGTAACCTGGGTTCGATCCTCGCCGGCACCAATGAAATTGTCAATTGCAATTTTAAGTGCTGATATACCACGTGCTCGGCGGTGAAGGAAAACATCGTGAGGAAACCTGCATGTCTGAGGATTAAGAAAAAATATTCCAAAGACATGTGAAGTTCGCCAATACGCATTGGGGCAGCGCGGCGGACACTTCCTTGCCCTAAAACCCTCTCAGAAATGAGGGGAAGCCTGTGCCCAGCAGTGGGACGTATATAGGCTGTAACTTATATTGTACAAAACTGCATTGAGGCTCGCGTAATTGATAATTACATTAATTTGTCTATTGCCACGCTTGCCAGGCGCGTTGGTAACAGCAATTTGTTTATATTTTAGTTGTTCTGTTCCCTTTTACGACATCCACTAGACAATATTTGTGGAGAAGTGTACATTTTTACACCGCCACTATTAATTTAGTATCTAACCTGGCCTAAATACCCCACTTCATAATGTTTTTGTACACATGAAAATTTATATATGAAATGGCTGAAAATAGATCAGTTTCTTTGGATTGTAAAATAAATACGTTGCGTTTACCTCTCTAGTAGCAAGTTCCCAAAGCAAAACTGCAAAGCTCCACATATCAGCAGCCTCCCAATTACGTTTAGATGCGGGCTTCATCAAAGCCTCAGGAGACATCCAAGCCGGGGCGTAAATACGACCTCGCTCTTGGAACGAGAATTTTGAATCTGCCATATTGATGCGAGCCGTAAGGTCTTCGTCAATCTGATAAACAAACATTAAATATTTATTATCTATACGAAATTAAATATTAAGACATATAGACAATAATGTATACGCATTATTAAGCCTTATAGTTAAACAAGGGGTGGCCTGTTCCAAGATATAAGCAAATGTTTTGTTCTTCACATAATTTCTTTATATCACTAAAATACATATGTATAGCACCACAGCTAGCTACAGCTCGTAACTTAGAACATAAACGCTTATAGTCCATATGGATAAAGAATGGGATTAAAAATGGAAGTTAGCGAGCTCGTACCGTTAACCTGCTAATAACGGTATATGGTTATAATGTTATGTTATTCGGTTATTAAAAAATATTTGAAATGAATTGTACACACAAGTTGCTATATTCATTTTAAAATAACATTTACCTTTGTCTAGTAGCTTTGGCTTTTCCTGGGTGGCATCTATCAAAGTGGCGTTATGTAGACTTAAGATAATCATTAAAGACCATTTATTTTTTCTTATCAATATTTCTATTTTAATAAAATCTCTAGATTTTTGGGATAAAATTTAGTCTAAATCACTCCTCTTAATATTTTATTTAATTATATTGATAAAAAAATCAACAACAATTATGAAGAAAACTCTAAGAACGCGTCGTAGCTCACTAACTAGCACAAAAGCGGAATGATTTTTTTTATCATTGATTACAATGACAGGTTGGACTGATGTTATGAACGTCCTGAAAAAAACTATTGCAACATATTTTTTGCAGTGGTGGGTGTGAGTATAGATAGCGACAGTGTCCGAGCGAGAGGTGAATAGAGGCGACGCCATTTTCAATCCCATTCTTTAACCTCACGGGCACTAAAAAAATTTACAGAACGCGAGTAAATCGAGTTTGATATCAACCGGTACCAATGTGAACAAACTAAAATACAACACCTTTTGCATATATTTTTTTATACAACAAGCGAGCACACAGTACACCTGATGCTAAGTGGATGCTGTGACCCATTGACATGTACATTTAATACTTGAATTAGAATCAAAATTTAGATATGTTGTCACTCATTAGGAGTAAGATGGGATGCCTTGTTTACAGAAAAGGGTATTCTGTGAGAGCGTGTCTTACTCTGGTCGAGCCAACACATTAATACTACAACCATAATATAGCTGCAGCGTTATTCTAGCACGTATAGAAATATTATGAAAGAAAAACTTGAAGTGGTGACCTCACCATGATGTGCCTGCTGTTAAGCTGGTAGGGCGGCAGCGTGCGGTCGCGCTGCAGCGAGTGCAGGTAGGCCATGATACAGTATGCAGCAACAGAACCAGTGGAGCGGTACGTCACCATGATGTGCCTGCTGTTAAGTTGGTAGGGCGGCAGCGTGCGGTCGCGCTGCAGCGAGTGCAGGTAGGCCATGCTACAGTATGCAGCAACAGAACCAGTGGAGCGATACGTCACCATGATGTGCCTGCTGTTGAGCTGGTAGGGCGGCAGCGTGCGGTCACGCTGCAGCGAGTGCAGGTAGGCTATGCTACAGTATGCAGTAACAGAACAAGTGGAGCGATACGTCACCATGATGTGCCTGCTGTTGAGCTGGTAGGGCGGCAGCGTTCGGTCGCGCTGCAGCGAGTGCAGGTAGGCCATGCCGGCCGCAACATCGCGCGCAAGGCGTAGCGCCGCGCCCGCGTCCAGCACCACGCGCCCGCCCGCACCCGCGCCCGCCCCGCCGCCATGTAGCAGCGCGTGCCGCGAGCCCCACGACATGTATTGTGAGATCACCACCAGCGACGGCGGCGACACGCAGCAGCCCACCTGCGCAACGAGTACCATCATCATTCAGAATACGCCACAAGGCCGTTGCTAAACATTGGTACGATGCTGCCACTCGAAAACCTTTCTTCCCCATCATTTATCGGTTCTTCGAGCTATATAGCCGTCTCATTGCCCCTTCAGCTTACTAATCCGTTGGGCTAATGGGTTACTTTGTTCCTAATTTCTAAGTTTATTACGCCGAGATAAGCATAGCCCTCTCCTTAGCTCCTTAGCAGTGAAGGACCACTGGTTATAAAAACTTGTTTTGAAGTTTGTACAACCAGTACCAAACGCAGCCCAACCGAGTTGAATCCGTCGATTGACCTCGCGGTCGAAGTTGGACTTACTTAGTCGAACTATTTATCCCCGGTAAACATACTCGTCAACAACTTTGAGCTTAGTGTTCACAACAACTACAACAAAAAAAAAATCTAAACGTCAAAATATTATTATGATTTGAATGTGTCTACGCAACAATCCTATTATGAAATAAATAGCTTAACGCCAAGGTCTTCGCTATTAGTTTCTTTTTCACGAACCTAAGAACTGTAAAAAGCTTTTAGAAAACAAAGAACTAAACGGCAATGGAACTTCATCGCAAATATGTTTTTTCTAGACTAGAAAAGAACGGGTAATATCTGAAAATTTTAAAAGAAGGCCAGTCTGCAATAATAATTACCTGTGACAAAACTGTGTGTGTGGGAAAAACGTTTAAATTATCAAATAAGGATTGCCAGATTGGCACGCATTTGAAAAAAAAAATCCTACGGACCAGGAAAATAAAAACACTACTAGTATTTACGTGAATAAGATTAGAATTTAGAGCTCGAAAATTAGACATCTATAAAAAAAATGAACACAGTAGCAGCTGCTGTTACCGTCGATTTGCTACATACTGAAATTAACCCCATGAAACCGCTAGCACTTGTTATAAAAAACCTTTTTTAGTGTTTAATTAATGAGAAATTATTGTTTTTATTATGTGTTTGTTAAAAATACTTGAAACAAACCTTTTTTTTCTTCATATTTTTGTGTTACGCACTACTAAAACCTTTGAAAAATATTTCAACTTATAAGACCAACGCACTGTAGATAACTGGTACAAGTATTTTAACAGTACTCAGTATATTGGTGCAAGTGTTAAAAGGTCGTAGAAGCTAATGGTTTTTTAAATAATAGGCGTTGCAGATTAATCGGGTAATGTGCAAATGCATCTGAAATATGGTTTTGCCTTTTTTTTCCTTAATTTGCAAAAAAAGTACACTATAAACTGGTGCAAGTGGCTATTTGTAACAGTTTACATGTTTTACTATTTTAAAACAAGCTACGTCATACATGTAAATGATACTACAGTACTCTCTCGCTAATCCGCGACCATAAAATCTTAACCATCGGCGGATTACTGAAAACGGCGGATTATAATGTACAGGAACAACAAATTAAAAAAAAATATTTATGATTTAATTACATATTGTATTTTTAAGAAATCAACAAACATGAATTTTTTATTATAGTAATTACTTATATTTGGGGAAAAAATGTGTCTAATTTTCTTGATAACTTCATTGTGCATTTTACGTAAAGGAGATGAACTTGATTCCATACAAGCTTGGCCCCGAGGTGAACAATGTTCAAATACGTCTTTTTTTGAAGATTTAATCACTTGCTACATATAGATGCTGTTGACAATCTTGTATTGTATGAATTCTAATACATTGTTTTGAGCGATAATATATATAAATAATTTTGGAATTCTGTACAGTTTCCCCACAACAGTATACGGTTAACGCTTGCCATGCAAAGGGCATTTCTCTTAAATGTTGCTAAACCTGAGACACTCATGAGGTCGGTTCTACTAACAACAAGGAGCCCTTTTCCTCTACAACTTATTCACACAACAGATATACCATATAGCTATTTGGAAAAGGTTTTCTGTAAGGTGGAGGCAACCAATTATTGTGTCTCGAGAACCATTTTCCAGTTTGTGGGGCTCAAATTCAATCAGGAATCTCGCTGTATCCTTCCCATTATCTTGTTTGTGTTTCTTTCATGCTAGAAAATGTTGGGCACAACTTATGTCTATCGATCTTGTGTTTAATTTGTATTTCATCAATACTAATTTTATATCTATGGCCATCTCATGAAATAAATTATTTACAGATGCCATCCATGAATGAAGTTTGCTGGGACAAAGCTTGAGATTTGAGTTTACATGTACCAGAACGACCACAAGAAAGATCCCAGCACATTGTGTTGCCCAATATAAGAATTTTCGCTTTCATGCGATATAACACTAGAAGTATCCCGAGAGAGAATAGATGGTTTAGAGAGAATAAACCCAATCTTGGTTCATGCTAAAATTAAGTCCCGCCATTTTTCCACTAAAACTTTGTATTTATAGTGATTATATATAACTTTGTATTTATAGTGACATGATTGGGCGGGACGCAATCGAAAAGCTGTTATTGCTGTAACTGCATTGTAGGTTTAAGAGCAGTGGGATGCTACTCACATGCTATGAGTATTATTTGAAACCTAAACCTGCCCCCTTCTAAGATGAAGTTTTATTAAGAATTCATTAATTATAACTACAATAAAATAAACGAACTTAAAAAACAAAATATTTTTTATTTACCTACACTCAAAACCCCATCAGAACTTTATCATTATCAAATGTTGCAGTCCGCTGCTGAATATAGGTATCTCCAAATTCACAACGCTGAGTAGATACCGATCGTCATCTCAATCTACCGACTTAATGGTAGAACCACCAGTGGCGAAGCTAGAGCTCCAAGCTAGGGAAAGCCCAAGATATAAATTGATAAAAATATAGATTGTTGTTTTTAGCAGTTTTATAAAAATACACCAATCTTGATCTGTCTCCACGCTTCAGTTTCATATTCAGTGCTGTTAAGGACGTGTTTAACAAAGCACACAGAAGGCATAACACTGCTAGATAGATTGTATTACATATCAGCAATTGCATAGCTTCTGTGGCTTTGAAGAAAGCCGTTTGGGTTTGTTTTTTTTTTTAATTTATTTTATGTACACACATTAAGGTACAGAATAGTTTTAGGTTTACTTATTACGAAAACCCATAAAGGAAATTATATTTAAATTAACTTAGTGCATACATTAGTATCTTTTTTGTATGCGAAAGAAAAAAAATATTTACATCCAATACAATACATGAACAAAAGTAAAACACGAACAAAGTACAAACAAACTATGTACAAAATTAAAAAAAAAAATTATTTACATTCTAATGGATAAGAGATAACATAAGATAAGTGGAATCGTCTTGCTTTCTTATGGAAAGATTTAATTACGTCCACGTAAAATGTTGGTGAACGTTTTAATTGTACCAATAACTGTTTTTAATTGCGATAATTGATAAGTCTGAAATACACTCTTAACCTTGTGTATTATCTCAACAAAGTTTAAAGATTTCCTCTCCGATTATCACTTTAACACACTTCAATTCATCACAAGAAACACTATTATCCTCCATTTTCATTAAAAATCTTTAAAAAAACATAAATTTTGAACTCGTAATATTAAATCGCTTAAGATAAGCACCCAAAGTAAATAAACATTGAAACGAGAAATGAACTTGCAAACGTATTGCCCGCGCGCCTCCGCTTTTAACAAATTTATTCCCAAAAGCCTGGCTTTAAATCTCTATACTAATTGCTATATATACAATCGTAGCTATATTTCATTACAGAATATTTTGCCATAGGTTAGAAAGAGAGCGAACGTCTTCTCGAAAGCCCAGCCCACGCGAGCGAGGGAGACAACTATTAGCTCTATTAAAACTCATTTTTTATGACAACAGCAGTATCACTAAGGCAATACGAGGTCATCGGTCGACATTTGTCGAACAGTACAAGTACAACAGTACAGAACAGGAAATTTGAAATAGCTTGAAACATTTTACGAGTTATTTCATTAGTTGATATTATTGATTATTGATATTGATTCAGGTTTAATAAGGCAAGCCCGGCTTTTCGGCTTTAATGGAAGCTTCACCACTGAGAACCACGCTGTAGCTATAATATAGTTGTAGCACGAATGACTGCTCGACCGGGGAAGAACCACGCTCTCACAGAATACCAGTGTAAAATAGCAGTTTCATACTGCTGTGTTTCGTATGGTGAGTGTAGAGATCTGGAGACCCTTTTTACTGGAAACGAGGCATTCGATCCTAGTCTTCAGAGATGACAACGCATCTGAATTTTGATTCTAAATCGAGGATAAATGTAGATGTCCACGGGCCACAGCATCCACTAACCATCAGGTGGACTGTCTGTTCGATTGTCACCCTTGTTCTATAAAAAAAATAACGATTAGTAAAGCATTACAAAGTAGCGAAAAGCAATATAGAATATTTACTTTATCACAAAAACAATGTTTATTTGCCTATATGTAACAGGTACACTAGGAGAGGTTTTGGCTGTCGATTGTGGGCTTATTTTTGGTTATAACTTTTATCTCCCAAGTTCTAAAAATCTAAGAATTTAAAAGGGGTTTGTCTATCCTAATATCTACCAATTAAAACCAAAAATATCCCAAAACACGAAATTTTATTAGCGGCACGAAACTCCCGTACAAGCCTGCCATTCTTCTTTTACTACGGGTTAAAATTTTAAATTTCAATAAAACAGACGATTCATATTTTTTAGATTTTAAGATCTACCCATTGGAAATCTTTTAGTCTCACTATAATCTATTATTCATTGTTTCAAATACAAGCGTATCTCAAAGTTTTTTTTTTTCAAAACACTTACCACAGGCAATATATTGGGATGTGAGAATATACGCAGCTTTGGGAACTCTTCGTTGAAGTCTCGCTGGATACGTGGAGTACACTCACGTACCGCTATTATCTTAGCAACAATATCGTTCTTCTGCCAACGACCTCGCCATGTTTCACCTGTAATAATAAAGGAATTCGTAATATTACTAACTACCATCTCATAGAATATCTGTGTAATGCTGCTGTATCATATAGTGATTGTAGAGAACCAAAAACCCATTTTAATGCTGATAATATATCTGTATTTTTGATTCTCAACCGAAGATGTATATGTCTATCGACCACAGGATCCACTTAATACTAGGTGGTTTGTGTTTGCTTGTTTATCTATAATGTATCTCCGTTTATGTGAGTGTACGTGCGTGCGTGCGTGTGTGCGTACGTCCGTTGAGCTCTTCCATCACATTTAGAGACGATTCAGACCTGATGATTGAGCGTCGACACGCATGGTTTGTAAACACAGATTAAAAAAGGAAGATGGATAGAATTGCAACCATGTCTTTGGTTGCAAATTATTTTTAGTGCATATATGTGTGTGAAAGTATGTGTGTGTTCTTAATTAGAGCATAGTTTCGGCGACATTTTAAATGTACGTAATGTTCTAACTATCTTTCTTTATTGGTCTAGAATAGTAAATGGGATTGATTGGTATAATCCAAAGACATTCAAATATGTATAAGCGATAGATGAGACAAAGCGATCAAAATCGTAATCTACCTCTTGTTACCTAGTAGACCTAGTAACAACACGCTCAGTCTAGTTTGATATGCTAGCATGACAGGTTCCATTCATGTGTCAAAACTTTGGGTAAAATAAATATATTTTCGAATAATGAACTTATGTTAAATTGCGTAATGCTGTATTTAAAATATAATTGTGATAAAACAACTTGACTTTAGTTTTGAAAGAATTTTTTTTAGTTAACTCACCGAATAGTTAGCATAAAATCAATAAATTTCGTGTTGCCGACAAACTGGCTTACAGTTTGGCAAAGTTTAAAATATAAAATAATGTACACTCTTTATAAGAATAAATTAAAAAAATTAATTGATTGAGAGAGAAGAAAGAGAGATGAAGAAAATGATTCTAGAACATTTGCTAATTTTGTTATAAACTTTGTTTAGTTGCTTTACAATGGGTGCGTTTGGCAGAAAAAAAGCGCTAGCAAGCGCTTGTAAGCAAAATGGCGATCGTAAGCGGTAAGCGCTGTTAAATCGTAAGTAGCTATTTTCCTCCAGGACACGATGTTAGTTTTAACCGGGGAACCTAACCTAATTTAAATATATGTTTGTAAAGTATTCATATTAAAAACTTACCAATCATGAATTTTTAATAACATGTATATGTTTATTCACGTTATTATATTACTTAAAACTAATATTGCACAAAACAACTTATAAACTCTACTTCAAAACAAAAATTTAAATAAGCAAAATGGCGGATTGTGTCAGCGCTACTGAAGTAGTAATTGTGTCCTGGCCGAAAACTATTTCAGCGCTTTTAAGCGCTTGCTAGCGCTTTTTTCCGCCAAACGAACCCACTGTGTCACTCACTACTAATGAGAAATGTCGCTTCTCGATTTTTGTTATAAGTAATACTCTTATGAGGTAGGTAAATAATTAAGTTAAAAAATTCAAACATAGTCATTGTTGTTCAAATGTGAGTACTTAATCATCTCATTATAGTTTGGCTCCATCTGTGATATGTGCAGAATAATTTATATCCTAGAACTTGTTTTTTTGTTTTTTTTTTCAGTTACTTTTGCAGTCGGGGGGTTTATTTATTTCTCGAAAAAATCTTGGCACCTTCCTAACCTAAATATCATCGACACCGTGATATCTAAATGGTAGCATCTCCGCCATTAATTAACGAGGCATATCGTACTAGAGCTAAAATGTGTTCTAATTATGTTAATGTGTATTTTAGCTATTTAGAGCTAAAAGCGTTACAGACGCTCGACTTGAAAACGTTTACATGAAAATGTTCCAAATGACCGCTCTATAAACCTTTACTAAAGACTAACAACTAGTTCATTATGGTAAGACAGTAAAATAGTAACAAATTTCTTATTTTTATGCTAACTACAATATGGGCTGGTCATGTCTGTCGCAGAAGTGACAACCAGTGGAGTAAACGTGTTATGGAGTGGAGACCGCGTCTAGGCAAACGTAGTGTGGGACGCCCCCCTGACCAGATGGAGCGATGCAGATCGGGCTAAGTGGCGAGCTTTGGGAGAGGCCTATGTCCAGCAGTGGACTGCCGCAGGCTGATGATGACAATATGGGCCGGCAGTATGGCACAGTGGTTAGCTCTACCAGGTTATTATGCAGCAGACCCTGGATTCGAATTCCATTTGGTGCCAACATTTATGTAAAAACAAAATTTAGATAAACTCAACATCAGGGATAGCTCTTTATGTAAGTGCGGTCTGGAGAAAGGAACTCTGGAAAGCTTATTCTTTTGATGTTGAAATTTTTCTATTCCCTTTATGATATTCTCTCCAAATTTTAAGACATTAATGTCATTAATTCACGTCCACTTTAATAAAATTTAGAGTTTAGATTCCGAATTTAGAGACAAATTTAGAGGGACGCAAAAAAACGCACAAACATTAATAAAAAAGTTTTTTTTTGTTAAGTGTGAATTGTTACTGCAAATAAACTGAGAATACCAGATCTAAACACCACTAAAGTTGCTAGGGATGTTACTTTTTCCAAACTGGGCCCACTTAAGCACAAACATGTGATTCAAACATTATAACGTAATAAACACTGTCGTACACTAAGTTATCAGAGGCAGGTACGAGTTTCGCAGGAGAAGGACGTAATCGGAAAACTGTGGCCAGAGATGATTGGTTCATCGATACAAACTTTCTTTGAAACCAGCACTTAGCTTATGAGTCAAGAACGAAGCTACAAGAAGTTTGAGGGGTTACAGTAAGCACCAAAACTGTGAGAAAAATACTGTGAATCAGCCGCAATAAATTTACATTCACCTGCCAGAGGCCTCCACGACATTGATTGCAAACAAAATTAACAACGAGTTAATTTTGTTTGCAATCACAAAAATTGGAATGACGGAGCTTGGAGACAAGCTCTATTCACAGAGTCCAGTTTTTGTTTGAAGCGAGATGATGTAAAGATAAAAGCATGGAGACGCCCGGGAGAAAGCTACGCTCATTGCAACATCATTGGAAAAGAGGCCTATGGTGAAAGATCAGTTAAGGAGAGGTATTTGCATGGGGGCACGCACAGAACTCCTCGTCAATGAAAATGAGTCACTTAAGGTGAACGCACACATATCCGCACCGAAAGAATCGACCGCATCGAAAGAAACGATCGCTCCGAAAAAATCGTTTCCATTTCCTTTACGCCTGTCGCACTGTAATTACATATAATTTGTGAATTTGTGACGGATCTTGAAAAAAATTTTTTACTGTCGGTGGTTTATTAATGGAAGATAAAGAAAATACTAATTTAATTTAATTAGAATCACTCTTTTTTTAATTATGAAGTACGTACTCGCACGTTTCTGGTCTGCCGCATGCAACTGTCAGAATACGAGCGCATCGGTCGATTCGACCGCATTGCCCGCGCCGAATCCCAATTCGCCTAGGATTTCTGGGGTTCTTCCAGATTCGAACGATTCGGCGCGAACAAGTGTACGAGGTTTCATATGTTTTCATATAAATAATTTTAAAATTCGTTTCGTTCAACACTTTCGGCTCGGATAGTAGACTTTGGAAGAAATTGTAGTGCCATTTGCCCTTTTCATAGGAGATAGATATTTTTATGATAAAACACGCCCCCATAGAGCATGTATGGAATAAGCTTGGAAGACAAATTAAGAACAGAAATCCTGCCCCTGCTAATTTGAGAGACCTTAAAAACGCATTACAGGAGGAATGGAATGCAATCTCTCAAGAAGACTGGAAGCAGTTCAAAGAGCTAGAGGGCAGCACTTAGTACTTGTTATAGCCCAAAAAAATTATTTATAGTCAACCAAATCTAACAAATACATTTTGACAGCTGTCAGACTTATTGCACCAAGCATGCCAACCCAAAAATGGGAATGTACAATATTCGATTCTTAAAAAAATCGATATCGATTATTTACAGTTAGACTATTCAGAGTGGTACAAAAATGTTTCTATCCTGTAAAAATTTTCTTTTTTGATGATGATGATTTTATTCTTACCTGAAGGAGTGACAGCAATACGGGTATGCAGCGCTAATTCGTTGATATTGATACCCTTGTGCCGCGATAATGTCGCATCGCGACTTCTGGTTTTCAAACCTAGCCAGGACTGGTCTTTGAACTGGATCTTCTTAAGATCTTGTCCCTGCTGAATAGCGAGTTCGTGCAATCTGAAATAAAAGTTAGCAAGTAATGGGACTTAACTTTCTACTGTAGGGCGCAGACTTCAATAATGCTTTGACAAGAAATATACTCAATCAAAAACTATTCATCAGTGAAAGGCTAAGGCTTACACGCTGACGATCGCTACGATAGCAAAACTAAATAAAATTAGGCATTATAATATTATATAATGTGAACATCGAAAATTACAAGTTACAACATCTAATACCTCACCTTTGCACAAGTTGTCCCCTAGTCTTGTCAAGAGGAGTGTCGCCATCTTTATTAGCGAGTGATACTAAAGCACCCGCGAGCACTAAATCTTCTGCAATGGCACTGTAGCCCCAGAAACAGGCGTAGTGGAGGGGCGAGTTGCCATGCTCATTTGTAAAGTTCACATCCACGCGGTTTTGGAGCAGCTGTAATTTGGAAACTTGCCCTGTATTATAAAACTTGTAAGCTGTATCCTAACACAGCTAAACAAACACTAGTCCAACATATCATATTTATACATATCATAACATATACTTATATCATTCTTCTATTATCTCTTCTTTCTCATGTACATATGTGAATCTTCATATGATGAAAGGAGTTTGTCACTAAAATATTATTTTCCATACATACTGTAGCTTCAGGTGTCACATATGTTTTTCTAATTTTATGTATTACAGTCAAGTTTGGCAACTTTAACTTTGCCATCAGGGATGTACAGGTACAAAATCACGATTATTACGGATATCGCAATGTTTTTCGAGGTATGCCATTTTTTGGATGAAAATTTAATAACTAATTGACAGCATTGTTTTTGATATGGTGAATTAAATACTAGTGTTAGTTTAGCTGTGTTTAGCTGTATCACTGTATTCTGCCATGGACTCCTAAGGCCTGGACTCTTAAGGCGCTCAGTCTTATACAAGTAGTCCATACCCGTTTGATAAGTGATATGTTGGGTGGTAAGATTTCTTTTCAACTTAGAAATGTGTCTGGGTAGATAACACCCCCTACTTATTTCTACTGTCTTGAAGCAGTGCGCTTCTGGTTCTGGTCTGAAGGTCATAACCCTTAATTACTCGCGTGGGGTATATTTAACTCCACGGCGTATTTGAAGCGTCGTATCTCCGCCATTTTTAAAGTTACCTCCATGCCGTTCTTAGTAGCTGCCTAAATACCTCCCCCCGCCGCGAATCAGTCACGAGCGCCGCTCCGTGTCGTGTGGTTGTGTCAGGAGATCGTGTCTGGGGTATATATTGCCCCACGCGAGTATTCGTGCAACTTTTTTTGGACGAGTGAGTATTTTTATTTTTATTTTTTAATGTGCAGTACAGATACTAAATGGTTAGGTTTTTTTACTTATCTTTGTTTTCTGTTCTTTTTTAGGTTATAACACCCAAAATGGCAAGTAAGCGTCTTTCTAACTACCAGATTCTTGAGCGTATATTAGAAGACGACGAAGAAAGCATCATAGATAGTCCCGATGAAGATGAGGGAGACGATGAAGTGATCCAGAGTGACCACAACTCAGAATCTGAAGAAAGTGCCCATGAAACCGAGTTAGAATGGAGTGATGACGATAATGAACCGCTGAGTAGACACGCAAGTAAAGATTCTGATAGCTTTTATTTATCAAAAAAGAAATGCACAAAGTGGGCAAAAGAGCCGCCGCGTACTAGCGTTCGAGTTCGTAGACACAATATTATGAGGAAAACACCAGGACCTAAGGGAGCAGCCAAGGAGATACATACAATGTCAGAAGCATTCTTTTGTATGTTTTCAATGGATACTGTCAATTTAGTACTGCAACAGACCAACGATTACACAAAATCGATACAAGGAAAATTTCAACGCGAACGTGATTGCAAATTCCTAGAATACGAAGAACTTTTGGCTTACCTAGGTTTGCTTTACATGTCTGGTGTGCTGCGTTCATCTCACTTGAACTTCAAAGATCTGTGGGCTACCGATGGAACAGGCATCGAGTTTTTTCAAAACACAATGTCATTCAACAGATTTCTTTTTATATCAAGATGTGTTCGTTTTGATGACAAAAATACTAGATCTGAAAGGCAAAAAGACAGACAAACTAGCAGCAGTCAGAGAGTTCACTGATTTGATGAATAATAATTTCATCAATAATTACTCTGCATCTGAAAATGTCACCCTAGATGAACAATTACCTGCCTTTCGAGGAAGATTTTCTGGTGTTGTTTATATGCCCAACAAACCCACGAAGTACGGCATAAAGCATTATGCACTCGTAGACTCGGCAACATTTTATTTACTGAAATTTGAAATTTATGCTGGAGTACAACCTGAGGGTCCATATCGAATGCCTAATGATACAGTAAGTTTGGTAAAGCGCATGACAGAACCCATCTGGGGTACTGGTCGAAACGTTACGATGGACAACTGGTTCACTAGCGTCCCTCTTACAAATACGCTTCTAAAAGATCACCAGCTTACTATGGTTGGAACTATTCGCAAGAATAAGCCGGAAATTCCAACTTGCTTCCAGCCCAAACGAACACGAGCTGAGCATTCCAGTCTGTTTGGTTTCCAAGAAGACGTAACACTTTGCTCTTACGTTCCAAAAAAATCTAAAGCTGTACTGCTGATTTCGTCAATGCATCATGACAATAAAATAGTAGATACCAACGACCAAATGTGTGCTAACTATAACGTCGGCAGACGTACAAAGAGATGGCCTATGGTTATATTTTATCACCTTCTCAACGTTGCTGGTATCAATGCATATGTCATTTATAAAAATAAAATTGACCACGGAATATCAACAAGGGAGTTTTTGAAGCATCTTGCAGTTGATTTGGTAAAGGCTCGCCAACAAACTCGAGCAACTATACCACAACTGCCTAGGGCCGTACAAAAACGGCTAAAAAGAAATGCTCAAGTTCAGGATCCTAGCCCCACTTCCAGAGGTGGTCCATCGACAACTTATAAAAGGTGCCATATCTGTCCAAGGTCGAAGGATAAAAAAATAAGATTTATGTGTGCCAAATGCCACCAGCAAGTTTGTCACGACCATTCCACTATGATATGTGATAAATGTATTGATTAAAAAGTTCCTAAATTTAAAGTTTCATATCTTTAAAAGTTTTTAAGGATACTATTACAATTTAGAACAATGTTGCCTCTTTCAAATTTTTATAATAAAAAAAAAGTATGTCATTAAAAATATGTTTTATTGTACCTTTACAATTGGGGTTATGTATTCCCCACGCGAGCATAAGTGTAACTATATGGACGCGAGTAATTAAGGGTTAAGAGAGCCAGTATAATCACAGGCTGTGGGGCATTTTATCTCCTCAGAGGTGACAAAACATCTGTAACCTTCTTTGTTTGAAGTAGGTTATAAGTGCCCGTGGGTTGCAGTAGCCAATTTACCATCAGGTAGCATCCACCGACTTCCTGCATGTCTTACCAGGTCGTCACTCCATCTAGTGGGGGGTCGCCCTATACTACGCCTACCGGTACGAGGCTGCCACTCGAGAACCTTTCTTCCCCATCGGTTATCGGTTCTTCGAGCTATATGGCCGGCCCATTGCCACTTCAGCTTAAGCGATTTAATATTGCGAGTTGAAAATTTATGCTTTTTTAAAGATTTTTAGTGAAAATGGAGGATAATAGTATTCCTTGTGATGAATTGAAGTGTGTTAAAGTGCTAATCGGAGAGAAAAATGTAAAATCATTAAACTTTGTTGAGATAATTCACAAGGTCAAGAGTGTATTTCAGACTTATCAATTATCACAATTAAAAAAAGTTATTGGTACAATTAAAATGTTCACCAACATTTTACATGGACATAATTAAATATTTCCTTAAGAAAGAGAGACAATTCCATTTAGAATGTAAATTTTTTTTTTTTTTTTAATTTTTGTACATAGTTTGTACTTTGTTCATGTTTTACTTTTGTTCATGTATTGTATGTAAATATCTTTTTCTTTCGCTCAAACAAACCCAAACAGCTTTCTGCAAAGCCACCGAAGCTATGCAGTTGCTGATCTATGATATTGCTGAAGAGTGGAGACAGATCAAGATTGGTGTATTTTTACAAAACTGCTAAAAACAACAATCTATATTTTTATCAATTTATATCTTGGGCTTGTCCTAGTTTGGAGCTCTAGCTTCACCCCTGCCTTGAGCTACCTCAGTTCTCAAATTAGATTATATAAAGCAAAATTCAACATTCTCTGTAATCTGATCTCATTATTTAGGCCAAACTATTAAATTAATAATAAATAACACATATTGCTTCATCCATGTAACAGTAAAAAGGTAACAAATAGAGTAAGATTAGCATGGATATTGTTCGCGACGGCCTAACAACGCTAAGAAACAAAGTGATGAAAGAATATTGTTTTTGAATTAATAGTGAAATTACCGACAAAACTGGGTGAAAACGTGTATTGATATAGTTGTGTAGCATGTTTATAACTCTTAGTATATTTGTATAGAATGTCGTTTTGATAACAATTGATGTAAAGAACTTTTATTGTATTAAGAAAATTCAACCAATCGCAGAGCATCGTATCATAGAACTCTCTAGAAGTTTAATTAACTGCGTAATAGTTCATACTGAAAATAATGAGAATAACTTTATGTTCTAAAAGAGTTGTAAATATGACATTGAATTAGCATATGGCTTATAGATTAAGGAAGTGTAGGAATATTTTGTATAATTAAACGCATTTGGTATACTAATAATATGATATACTAATAAAGTACCAGACTACCGATTTGATTATGTATAGCATGTTAGTGTAGCAATTAGTTTTGTATAGAAAATATTGTGATTTATGCCATTTGCAAAGTGAAAAGTTTATGCAATAAAGAGACAAAACGGAAAATGGCAAGCGGCTCACCTCAAGGTATAGCCAAAGTCTACCTTAGGGCTCGGGACCCAGTAAAATTTAGTGTGAAGAACTACCAGTGACAAGCAGTAGTATCCGGTAGTAGCTGAAGTGACTAGTAGTAGTATATAGTGAATAGTGAAAGTGTTAGCTAGCTCAAAAAGGTCGTAACTGATATTCGCAGTTACATATAGTGAAAGTGGTAACTGATATCCGCAGTTACACAAGTGATAAAATGCTAGTTTAGTTGGTAATAGCTGCTAGTCAGTAGTGTTAGAAAACCAGCTACTACCAATAGATATTTGATACTACCGTACAATTTAAAGACATCTTTTGAAATATACAGTGACCAACCAATAGTGAACAACCGTAGTTGAACAACTGTGGTCAATAAACAATAGTTATAAAATTTCGCAACTAATCAATTTTGCTATTTGCTATTTGTATTTATAAATCGTGCATTTTAATTTGAACCTCAGTCTACAATATCTCAGCAGCACCCATAAAGACAGCAGTGGAAGTACCCTCCGGAACCTATAGGTGTAGGATGTGAGCGACTTGCGAAGTATCTTCGACAACATTTACTCCGAAGAGTTTCGCCCGTCCGGAACAGATATGCATGAAAGCTTACCAAGAGCACAATAGGACGGTGTCCATGGGCTGCAGCCAAGTGCAATGGAGTGTCATCACCCATGTTGGTTACATTTATCCTGGCACCTCTTCGAATGAGCATCTCAACAATCTTAATGTGACCTTCTTTGCAGGCCCAGTGCAGAGGACTGAAGCCATGATCATCACTACAACAAAAGTTAGTGACTGTATTAGTAACTAAGACATATTTAACAATGACAATTTTAAACCATGCTATTTAATTTTTTCAGTTGAGACATGTATGTTTATATATAAGCTATCATATATTTGTAAATTGGCTACTACAGTAAACCCTCGTTAATGCAAACACGGTTAACACGAATTTTGGTTTAAGGCGAACAAAAATTTGCTCTAGACAATAGTTCCATAAGCTTCAATGTAATTATGTTCGGTTAAGACGAACCCTCGTTAATCCGAACTTCAAACAACTTTTTCGTCCCTTCACGGTTAATTATCGGATAATACGAACTATAAAAATTCCCAAATCATGTATTTTGTATATTTTTTGTCCTTTTTCGGTCAATACGAATACCGATATCTCAAATTTTCTTTCAATCTTACAAAAGCTATTGAAAAGGTTGTAAACTTTTGAAAACTAATTAACAAAAGCAAAGGCTCCTTAACAATTTGGTTTTGTTAAGAAGTGTACATATAAACAGATGTCTGATGAACATAATAATAATGTTAAGTTATAAATGATATGTAATAATAATGTTAAGTTAAAAAATTTATAACAAAAAATTATTGTAAATATAAAATAATAATATCAAAGTTATTAATAAAAATGTTTCTATGATGAATCATAATATTGAGTTTAGAAACACGAATTCATTTTTTGCATTGTTCGGATTACACGAACTCCCCTGTAACACAAACTATTTGTCTGATTTTTTCGTGTTCGTGTTAACGAGGGTTTACTGTATAAGAAAACAGAAATTTCATAGGTAATCATAATTTATGGTTATTTGAAATTAATGTTAATTTTAGTTTACTGCATGGCTCTAAAAGTTAAGTTACATCCTATGTATGTCACACTGCTGGGCACAAGCCCTTTCTAAGCGGCTAGGTAAATATCCGCCATGCTCTGTCTTCATATTTGTCTTTTCTTCTAGGGATGCAGGATATCACAATATATTCCTTACCCACCATGCACATGAAAATAGAAAAACAGCATTGCTGCCAGCAGGGATCAACCCAAGCTTCTTGCATACTTTGAAATTTACAGCAAGTCTTAGCCCATGAGCTACCACAACACTTAGCAGTGTGGCTCTAATGTATAATAAAATTTACAATTTATTACAGTACTAAAGTAAAGTTAATCTAAGTAAATCACTTGAGAAACAAGCTATTTTAAATAATTTTCAAGTTATCTATGTAAAGTAATAATTTCAGATATTTACACATAGTTATTCTTTTACTCTGTATGTTTTTAGATATACATATAGCATAAAATATTTATCAAAATTTTACATATTCAGTTTTCGATATAACCCTTTGCAACCGGGAGTCAAAAAACTCGCATACATTAGTAAGAACTTAGAATACGTTTCGAAACTATTCAGATGTCATGGAAAAATTACTGAAAAAAATCACAAGCAAGCTGGTCTTCAGCAATCAGACCCTCACATTCATGAGGCTCAGGAATAATTTGCTAGTCGCACGATCGTGAGTGTATGTAAATAATGAATGATTTAGGTCAAATAAATGAAATAATAAATATCAATTAAAATAAAATATGGATATTTATGTTTTCCTATTACTTTAATCAGTCTGTATTACAATTATATATAAAAATAAACTGTAATTATTTATAAAATAACGTATTACAAATGAGATCTTCCTAATTTCTATAATCGGAACAAAAATAAACTATAATTACTTCAACAATCAACAAGATCTTAGGTTTTACTTATAACAATCAATGAGATCGACTTATTATTGTATATGATAAGCCTTAAAACAATTTTTATCACGGGATAAGCATAAATACACATTACATTTATCACACCTAATTTTTGAACGACTGCTGCAGGTTTCCAATCTACAAGTCCTCGGCGCTTTTATGTCGTCGCTGGTAGGAAAATGGTCATACCCATCGTATCGTTTTTCTGCTGACGGTCTATTTGCTGGTCTGTATATTTTATAGTCACGACTAGGAAATGATACCTGGTCATCATCTTCATTATCCTTTCGAGTTCTACTTGGTGTACAAGATAAGGCATCTGCCACATCCAAACGGAAATCGAGTAAAGGCATCGTGTCTTTCCTTGCATAATTGTTTCTGTTGCAGTCGTTTCTATACAGCCTCCAAGAGTTTACGAGCGCGAGGTCAAAAAAGTGTGTTAACAATTTTAAGGTCCATTTTTTTGTTTTTATAAAAGTTCTATAACACTCCATCTGTTGATCCAGGACATCAACTCCTCCCATGTGTTGATTATAGTTTTTTACTATTTTTGGAGCAGTCATATCAACGTACCGTCTAACGGTTTTATCCCACCTTTTAACGATAATCGTCGCGGCAGAGCCAGTACAGTTGGATGCAAGTAATACGGATTTATTATCTTTCCACTTTACTATTGTAACAGGTTCGCAAACAAAATGTTGGCTTTCACCACGAGTCATTTGAGAATCCATTTTAAATTTTATCGTTGCTCGATCAGGGATACGATTCAACATTATTGTCCCAGTCGAATGCAGATTTAACTTGTTCATTTCTTCAATCAAAGGAACGGTTGTAAAGTATCTATCGTGGTAAACGCAGCTACCCGGGGGAATACTTTTTGCTAAATGTAAGATTACTGAAGGACCCAGACCGAGATTCGTATCACCAAACATCGTCCTTGCACCCCTGTATATTTCAAAATCTAACATTAATCCTTCACTAGTTGTGAGGACGAAGTTTTTAATCCCCACAGGCCTAGGTTTGTTCTTCACTACCTGGCGAAGTTGACAGCGGCCTGTAAATGGTATCATTTGCTCATCGATCGAGTAAAATCCCGGCACCCTTTCTAATTTACTACAGGCACCTTTAATTTGGTCGATCATAGGTTGAACCTTCCATAGTGGATTACCAGTTTCGGATGCAGATGGAGAATCTGAGTCAACTACGTGTAGTGAATTGCGAAGGGTAAAGAACCTGTCCCGCGAAATTAAACCGCTGACAATTTTCAACCTACTACCAGCCCTCCAATACATAGGCAGTCGGGGATAAGGAACACATCCCATGATTATTTGTATTGCAAGGAGCTTTGCGATCTCACTGCTTGTACTTTTCAATTCACGGCCCGTAGTCCGTAAGTAATATAAGTTAGTGCAGTGAGATATCCTTTCTATAAATTCGTTATCTATGTAGTCACCAAAGTAGTCGATAGGACGCCTTACTACTTTTGTAGGCAAGGGAAGATAGTTATGCAGTTTATCTACAAATGGAACCTGCTTCCATATTCTTTTCCTACCACTTGATGTTGATGCCGATCTATTCCCTTGAGAACATGGTGTTGACACCGATTTTCTTCCCCGAGTACTGGTGGTTGATCTCGATCGCTCAGAGGATAAATATACTGACCTTTCTCGATAACGACGCGACATGGATGATAATGATGGGCAAGACGGTTGCATTGTTGATGGACACTGCGTCCTCGGTGGAGGAGGATGTTGCGCCATTAATGAAGCTGGAGGTTGCAGCATCGATGTAGATGGAGGTTGTACCACCGGAGGACACATCAATACTGATGTTTGGTGACTTGTTTCTTCATCTTCATTAGGATTGTCACCATCGAAGAGATTTTCGCAAGCCAATTGATCAAATAGTGTATTTGGTTCAAATTCCAAGTCGTCATCATCAAAATCTTCAATCTCTGATAGATTTCCATTCATCAATTGGTCTAATATTACATCATCCGTAATTGGAACCCCTAATAAAGAAGAAAAGGCCATTTAAATACTGTATGGGATCAAAATAACAAAATGTAACAACATCACGTGCTACGACCATGTTGCATGATCGTGCGTGTTTAATTTTGACAGAAAATAATTACGAAACTAATGCTTCAACTTGCAAAAACTTGATAAGTAAACCTACAGGCACTCGTATCTAATCAAATAGCATTAAATAATATAAAATATTCCAATACAATTACTAGAAATCGATCTACTTACGTGCGGGAGCACCGGGATTAAAAAACGCAGCCATCCCTCATGCGGCTTTCGACGATCTGGCAGGACGAAACGCGAGCACAGAGACTAAAACTATTTTTTGTCTCATTTTTAAGTAGACTCACGATAGATCGACGCCGGTTGCGTACGCTTAAGTTGTTTATATTTTTCCTTAGAATTTTGTAAAGTCGAAACTCACGATCAGTTTAACTCGGGTGGAAAGGGATAAAAAAACATGTCGACCTATTTATTTGAAAGCAATACTAGTTTCGAGTCACTAGATGAATTTAAAGGGATTAGTGCCCCTAACCTCTCATGTAACTTTGCCCTCTGTTGCCGAATAAATGGTTTTTATCCTGCCCTGGCTTGTTCATTTCAAATGACTGCAGGATCACTCTGATGAAGACTACTTAGAATGTAAGTTTACTTGGACCGCAGAAGGCGAAGCCTTTCTTCCTGTTCTGCATAAATCTGTATAGGGTCCACACTGACACATTACATACACAAGTACACCTACACGTAAAATTTTGATCACCGTAGAGCATTCGTAATATATTAAACTTACCCTTGATTCATATCATGTTCTGTATCATCCAACCAAACTCGCACCTGCAAAGCGTTTCCTTCCCTACACCACTGAAATATGTCTTCCATTTTACGAGCTAATTGTATTTCTTTCCAAACTATAAATATTTATCGAAACGTTCGAAGTTGATCCGTAATTTTATATCTTCTGTTGTTGACTGATAATCAACAGAAAAAACAATAATAAATAAGATAGGTACCACTGATAAGATAAATACTAAAAAACTACTCTGTGATTGTGAATAGTTTGTGACACAGAGGCTGATGTTGTGACCAAATATTACTCATTCTATGACAGTATCCTCAGACGTTTCGCAATCACCGAAAATAAAACCACAGTCACAGAACAACTAACTAGACTGACCACAACCATACATAATGGGTTCGATTGATGGTAGGTATCGATTAAAACTAACGATTTTCGATACCTGATATCAAGTACTCTCTTTAAATGGTATAGCCGTGCATTTTCACAAAAAAAAAAAAAAAAAATATTTATAAAATTATAAAAAATTATAATTAATTTATAAAACACTATTTTCTGAAAATGTATCAAATCGCGTTCGCATAGTCAAAGAACATTTTGTATTGTTGTAGTGAAATATGTTTGACAGTTTATTGTACAAAACCTATTTTAACTATACTATAACTACGGTATATAACTACCGAAACAAAATGTACTAAATCAGCTGATAAAGGGTCAAAACGCGCGGACGCTGAAGTCTTTTTATCGTGCTATCGTGTTGTACTCTGCGTGGGCTTTCTGCCCAGCAGGTTTCGGGCCTCGGGGTACACCCCTTTACCCGGGCATTCTTCACTGGGTCCCGGGCGCCTTTGATGTAAAAGGGGGTGTTTGTTCTTAAAAGCGGCTTTTGCCGCAGTCGGTTAAGTCATAGTCATAGTTGGCCTATCTGCGGCATTGAGGGGTTTACTCGACTCCCTAATCTATATAGGGAGGAGTTCTCTTTGATTGGGTCGCACATCCGGTGGCCGTGTGTGTAACGGCGCGAAGCCGTTTAGGTGTTAACCGATACCCGACAACGGGCCACATGAACACCTAAACATGCCGCGCGCCAGCCGGACCACAAATTCGTCAAGGCTCTCGATCATGAGGGTGGCCGCTATGACGTCATTCCGGACGTAGCGACCCGCACCGACTATGTTCCGTAATGACAAACTCTGCTGGGCCTGCAGTCGCCGCTTCTGTCGATCGCTCAGGCTCACATACCAGGCCGGCGCAGCGTATGTTGTATAGGCCTTATATACATTTTATATGTGGTGATCTTCGACTTTGTCGGTAGCTTGGATGTCAGGACTGGACGGAGCATCGCCCGCGCACATCTTGCTTTGCGGACGACGAAGTCGACGTGCGCAGTCATGCGCAGCATCCTGTCAATCCGGCACCCAGGGTAGGTCACGGCCTTCTGGTATGCGATCTCCTGGCCTCTGAGGGTTAGCGGTGGTGGAAATCTTCTGAAGCGGCGAGTGAGTGGAGCGGTCGTCTTGCCAACATTGACGGCCATCCTCCACTCGTCCAGCCATGGTGGCAGCAGGTCCAACAGACGTTGCATCCTGGCCGTGCCGATGTGCGCTCTTCAGGACGAGGTGAAATAGGCGCCATCGTCCTCCCATTCGCGCAGGTGACCTGTCAGGGTGGCGATGTCATTGGTGTAAGCCGCGTACAGGACTGGAGACAGATAGCTTCCCTGTGGTACACCACCTGTTACGGGTCTTATTGCGGACTCGGCGTCCTCTACACAGACGTAGAACCTCCTGTCTGCGAGGAATGACGCTACTAGCCGCAACATAGCAGGAGGGACACTCGTCTGGTCTTCTAGCTTGTAAAGTAATCCAGAGTGCCACACTCTGTCGAACGCCTTCTCGATATCGAAAAAGACGCCCAACGATGTAACGGCCGCAGTTGTGCTCGACCGCAAACAGGTGCAGCACTCTGGTCAGCTGTGTTGCTCCCTCCTGAAACCGTGCTGCTCCGCCCGAAGTTGGATGCACGGGTGGAGGCGTCTTAGCAGCAATCTTTCGAATAGTTTAGCTATGTGCGGTAGCAGCGTGATCGGCCTGTAATTGGCAGCTCTACGCCTGTTCTTCCCGGGTTTCGGCAAGATGATGATTTTGCCTTTCTTCCAGTCCTCTGGGAAGTGGGATGTCCGCAATATGCCATTGTAGAGTCGACCCATCTCTACAAGGACTCTGTTGGGCAGCTATCGGAGTGCAGCGTAGGTAATCCCATCGTGCCCCGGCGCCTTCCTTGGTTGCAGGCGGGTTACTGTCCTCCGCAGTTCGGCGGGGGAGATGAACCACTCTTCTGCAAGCGGTGGCGCGGGCGACGACAGAAACTCCTGCACGCAGCTCTCCTTCCCGGTATGGATTTCTATGAACTCCACACTTGCTGGGTTCGGCATGAACTGCTCCTCGAAGTGCTCAGCTAGGATATCCGCTCGGCCTTTGGCGTCGTAACGTTGCTCGCCCGCATAGTTGGTCAGCGGGCAAACAGGGGGGCGAGTTTTCGTTAACTGCCGGTTCAATGTGTAGAGCGACGCTTGGTGTTCATATGCCTTCCAAATGCTCCACTCCCAGGCCTCTCCTCTGTGGGCCTGGATTGCAACCGACAGATCATCCGTTAAGGTGTTCAACTTTGTTTTAGTCTGGGCCAGCGAGTGCGCGCCCAGAGCTTTCTCAGCGCTCTTTTGTGTTTCAGCTGCACCCGTATCTCACGCGGCAGCTCGTCCTTTTTTCTCGAGAGAGGGACAATCGTTGAAGCCGCGTTGAGGGCCTCCTGGATGCTCTTGGAAATTCTGGTTGCAGCGGCCTATATGTCGTCCACTGAGTGGATCGGTAAGTGTACTGGAGGTGTCTCCTGCAGGTGTTGGTGGTAGAGCCTCCAGTCGATCTTAGTCTTAACGGCTCTGGGTGGCGTAGTCACTGCCTTGGTGCCAAGGGTAATCAGAATCGTGAGTTGCTGTGTATTCAGGTCGTACAGCACCTCTACCACTATCGGGTAGTTGACGTTCCTAGAGAGCACGATGTCCAATACATCCAGACGTCTCCTTGGGTCTGTAGGAATGTGAGATGGTTCCTCGGGACCTAAAACATCATAATTACAATTCTCCGCATCTTTTTCTTTGTGGCAGCGACGGGGGCTGCGGTGGAGCGAGCAGGCGCGGGGGCTGCGGGGGGCGCTAGCAGCGGTGGAGGCTGCGGGGGGCGCGGGCGGCGTCAGGTGCTGCCGGGACGGGAGGTGTGCGAGAGGTCGCAGCGCGTTTAGAGCCACGCTTGGATTTCACTTCCGTGAAGCGTGTCGTGTCAATAACTGATTGATCGGAGTCTGGTGAGTCCGAGGAGCAGCTACTGGAAAAGGTGATTGACGTTTGAGCGGACCGCTTAGGGTTGGATGAAGAAATTTCGGACACCGTGTCCGAATGCTCTACGACTTCGGAGTGTCGGGCCGCTAAGAAGGCCGCAACGGGGGGCGAGGGGACACATGCCTTAGGGGTGAGAGGGGTGAGTACTTTGGCGAGTAATTTCTCGTCACTTTTGAAATATTGGGAGAGATGGGCTACAACTTGATTAATGTCCATGGTGGACATGTTGGGCGGATAGGGAGGTTAACGTTGTATTCTAAGAAACTGGGGTCCTTCTTGTTCTTCACAGAACAAAGGGCTTGCTCTCAAAAGAAAAAGTGACGCCAACTCCAAGAAACAGTAACACAATATTAACAAAATAGTAACAAGAAACAATAGACAATAGAATTAACAAGGAACAATAAACAATAGAAATAACAAGAACAATAAACAGTAAAATAACAATGCAAAGCAAGATAGTCGCTGGGATCTCCCCGCCGGAGCGAGGGGGCAAGAACGGTGCTAAGAAAGGTGACTCACCAACGGCGACAGCCCAGCCGGTGCGAACGGGAGAGTGGAGGCGCGCGAGCGAGAGGGGCGCTACCATACGGTGACGGGAGCGCTCACTGCATGACACGACCGCTTGGGAGCGGTGCAGCAAGCGGAATGCTTGGGAGCGGTGCGGCAAGCGGAATGCCTTAACGGCAGCCACTCCGTCCGTTTTATACAATCGAAACAAGTAGCTACCCTAGCGCAGGTGCAATGCGCAGGTGTGCGGTGCACGTGTTGTTTACAATAATTCCGACTAGCCACAGAGGCGCTGCTGCACGTACAATGGCGCAGGTACCGACATATACATTAGTTTTAAATAAATAATATAGAAAAAATTAATAGAAGTTTTATTTTATAGTTTTACAATAACGTGACAATCAACAAGTAAACGTTGCTAAGATACATTTTTCTTTTTAATATTTCGTATATCTTTTTAACATTCGCCTTCCTTTTAGAACTTGTAGTAAATTGGAAGCAGTTATCTAATTAATATGTAGCGTAGGTGGCACACACTTAAAATTCAGTTTAAATAACCCTCCATGTCTGCCTATTTCCAGTTAGCAAAACTTTTCCATTTACTCTCAATGAACAGGTCTCAGCAGTGGATTCGAAAAAACAATTTGGTGAGTGATCTTGTGCAGCAAGCACAGAAAATAGATTTCTTGTAATCGAAGGTACATACCAAACATCATTTATTAAAATATTTTCTAGTCCACCTTCAACATAAGCTTCAGCACGGACAGTACCAATTCCAACAGCCTCGATGCTTGGTGCGCCTGTGACGGTGTGGGAAGTTTTAAAATATTCAAAATGTTCGAAAAAATCGCCTCTATTGATTATATGGCTGGTAGCGCCATTATCTACATAGCAATTTGTCGTATCTAACATATATAAAACCGTTTGATTAGTTTGATTTATACTCACGCTTAATTGTTTAGGTGGCCTTCCTTCACTGATCCACTTCTTGCATTTCCTTACTCTATGTCCTTGTTCCCCACAGTAATCACATTTGAATTTTTTTTCCAATTCTTATCTTTTCCGCTAATTTTTCTTTCGGTTCTGCGTATAGCGCCTCAGCACAGTTTTCAACATCTACTCTGACAAACAAAGCTTTCTCATGGGCACATAGCTGGCAAGTTAAATTTTCAATTGTTCTAT